TGGATAGGCAAGCAAGTGCAGTACTTGACTTAGCATATGAATTGGAAGGATTACTAGAAGCAAAGGATGTCACATTCTTCTCCATGTGCAATAGGAGGCCTTTTACTTTATCCATTAGATCAGAAGACTCCTGAGAGGAAGTCATAGGAATAGGTGGTTGAACATCATTACCAACTACAGTTAAGTGTGCATTGCCCTTCTTTCCTATCTTAAACGTTTTAGGCTTTAGGTGATGATGAATCTTCCAACATTTGTCTAGGCTTAGAGGACATGAAAGTACAATGTTCAACCATGGGAGATGTCATCATGGCTGCTCTCCTACTCTCCTCACCCTGCACTAGGGAGTAGACTGTGGCAAAAGAAACAATGTCTACACTCAAGATATGTTGTCGAGTAAAGTCAAATTCAGAGTTAAGCCTGCCAAAAAAATCAAAAACCCTGTTTTTCTCAACATATTTCCTATACTACTCCCCATCTTCTAGATCTTTCCACTTTAAGGCCTCCAAATGATCCATTTCTTCCCACAAGGACTGTAAGGAGGAGAAATGCATAGCTATAGTCCTATTCCCCTGATGCAAACTATAGCCTTCCCTATGGAGCTGATAAATCCGAGCAATGTTTTTGGCTTGAGAATAGGTAGTTGTGACCCTATCCCAAATATCCTTAGCAGTGGATAAGAACATATAGTTACGGGCTATATGTGGTTACATGGAGCAAACCAGCCATGACATTACCATCAAGTTGTCTTGCTCCCATTTAGCAAACTTTGGGTCTTCTAATTTAGGCTTGATTTCCTTTCCGGTGATAAAATCCATCTTACCTCTTCCTCCAATGGGGAGCTTAGCATATTGGGATCATTCCAAGATATTGGTTCCATCATTTTTCACAGTAGTTATTTTGCCACTAGAGGTATCCATGTTTCTTAGAAGCACTTCGAGAACCAAGTGAATATCTTTCGAAGCTTCCATTCCTTAACTAAGAATAATTTTAAGAGCCACAAAGATTTCATATGCACCACCGGCACACAACAAGGCCAAAGGAAGAGCCAACACATGGCTAAGAAGCAACAATAGCCCCAAGAATAGTCTAGGTGGCAAAATATAGGAAGAAGAAAAAACTCCAAAAAAATTCTAGGGTTTAGAAAATTATGGGATCACTTCCCGTCTTCCCAGAAATATAAAACGAGTCAAATAAAATTGGTTTGAAGGAGAAACACTCTAATAAAGACATTGAAACATCCTCAAACTCAAATCTAAATTTTTTATGAATTTTCTTTTGGAAAAAACCTAACAAATCACAGAGCTTTCGCATGGAGGTGAAATCTATACCAAAAAATCCCTAAATTCAGGGCGATTTGAACCCTGCCAATTTTAAGAATGGTTGTTGCCACTTGTATGGGCTTCTAGTGTCATTCGGTTGCAGTCTGACGTCAACAGGTTGCCTCTAGGGTAATGAAAACCAATAGAAGCCTACCCTGAATCCAAATGAGCTCTGATACCAAGTTGTTTAAGGTGAAGCCTGTAAACAACGGGGTAATAAAAAAATGGTTGTTGCCACTTGTATGGGCTTCTGATGTCATTCGGTTGCAGTCTGACGTCAGTAGGTTGCCTCTAGGGTAATGAAAACCAGCAGAAGCCTACCCTGAATCCAGATGAGCTCTGATACCAAGTTGTTTAAGGTGAAGCCTGTAAACAACGGGGGAATAAAAAAGAGAAAGGAGGAGAAGAAGAGAAATGTTACGAAGGTGTCTCTCGAGTTACTGTTCACACTAGACACTAAAAATTTATAATGTTGCTGAAAGTACAAGTTTGCCCTTACATGGGCAGAGGAAATAAAAAACCAAAAAAAAAAAAAACCCTTTCATCATATTGCATATTCTCAACAAACCCCATAGTACAAGGGGTTTTTATAATTTACCGTTAATTTTATGTACCATGCATGCAAATTTCCACATGTTAGATCCCATAAGGTAGAGAACTAGCTCTTGACCTTAGCCTAGAAATCGTAATCAAATGATATATAGCTAACCATATTTGTGCTATTGCTGATTTTGCTATTTATGCATAGTTTCGAAGGGATACAAATATATGTAGAGTGCAAAACTTTGTATTTTGTATTATTTGTACTTTAGATATCTATATTTCCAAATGGATGTAAGTTGGGCAAGAAGTTCTGTTTTATTGAAGAGAAAATGTAAAAAAGAAGTTTAAAATGTTATCACCACCACCACCACCACCACCACCATCATCATCATCATCATCATCATCATCATCATCATCATCATCCAAGCCTTATCGCAATTACATGGAGTCATCCACGTACATGATATGATCATCATAATCCATGACCTTGATAGTTTTCCAAAAGATTTAATGCCAAATTCACACAGGAAAAATTGTTATAGGCTTTTTTTTTATAAAACCAGGAAACACAAAACAGGGGGTAGGACGTCCTCAGAAATCAAAACAGCTAATTACACCTAAAGGTCTTGGCACGGAAGAACAATACATCGTTTGAGTGAACGAAGTTTGCCAACTAGTCCGTCGGAATGTTGCCTTTTCTGTATACTCCACTCTGCCTTCGAATCTCTCGATCAATGATCTTCAACCCTCTATGATTGACATCATTCTCCATGGGGGATCCACAAGCTTATTCAAATAGTCAATTACAAGTTTGGAATCACCCTTAATAGTAATATTCTTTTTTGGGAAGTTCAAAGCCACATTATGGGCTTCCCACGCAGCCCATGGCTCAGCCACATTGATAGTGGTTTCACCAACCCTATAAGCTTTGAGGTCTAGAATTTGGCCTAAGAAATTTCTAGCCACGCATGCAATGGTACACTTACCACTAATGTTGGAGGTATCAAAATTAATTTTAATTGAATCCATTGCAAGACTAGTGCACTTGATCGGAATAACGTTTTTCTCCTCACAAAAATTTGTATTATCCTCCATACATTTCTGTGTTTCCTCAAAAGCATGTCGAGCCCTCTCTATAATAATAGGAGGGGGCTAATCTTATTATTAAGCACATTCTTATTTCGATTTTTCCATAACTACTACAATAAGAAGGTAAACTTTTCCTTTTTGCAACAATCCTTACAATTTCCTCTCTCATTATTCAGATTACTTGTAAGTTGGAAAGACTCACTAGTGGTTAGCCAAACTTGTTTGGCTAGTGGGCATTTTAAAAATATGTGTTGGAAAGATCTCCGCATATATATGTTGCACGACCCATCTATGTTAAATCCTCTCGAGATTAACATCTTCTTCGAGGGGAGTTTTTTGTTGAGAAGAAGATACATGAACATTTTAAGTTTTAGGAGGATTTTTCATGCCCCAAATTTATTAATTGTATTCAGGCTTCTTGACGGATTACCATGCATTAAACAAGCTTCATTGTATGCCGATTTAAATCAAGAATTTTCCACTCGGATTGGGCCTTCAAATGAGTGTTTCCTCTTTATCTCCTGGAGGAATGAAAATAGATTTGATTTTTTCCCAAATAGTGGGGAACTTGGTTTTTAACCATATTTTATTTTGACCAATAACCTCACTGACTTTGAAGTAAATATTAGAAATTATCTCATTATCCACACACTTATACAAAGGATCTCCATTAGCCCATTTATCGAGCCAAAACCTTGTAACTTTGCCATTACCAATCAAAGTTCCTAAACCCCTCTTAATAAGGTCTCTAGAAGATAGAATCCCTTTCCAAGCCCATGACTGACCATTCTTGGGCTCCACCTCCCAAAAGCTTTGGTTGTACATAGAACCAGTGATGATAACAGTTATCTATGTTTGGTTCTATGGGGTTTAGTGGAAAGTCACAACTACATCAGTGCCATGAGGTGTTGAGAAAAACTTCAAATTCTTGTTTCTTCCAATGCTTCGCATTTATTGAAAGTAAAATGTTTATGTGACACACTTTAAAAAGTTGAGGTAGAAAATAAATTTATGGGATGTCACTTAAAAAGCATAACCAAACAATGAAATTAACAAACATTTAAAGTTAATCCTATCTCCAATAAACACCCCGTCAATAAACGCCGGAACCCAACGCATACAACATCACACCCATTAATTGATCGATAAAATACGTGGACGGTGGACCCTACGGCGATGGTTGCATTAAAAGACCGGTATGGAGCTAGCCTCATCAGTTCAAACAGATACTGCGTTAAGCTAATTCTATCTCACTTGAGTTGAAATCGAAATTTCCTTTTTTTTCTTTCATATCGAAATTTGCTTTTTTTTTTCTTTTATTTCTTATTTTACAGGCTATATCTGTTCATGGGGTGAAAAAAAAAGTTGCGGTCATTAAAAGACCAAAAATATAACTGAAATAACAAATGCCTGCTCCTTTTACGGAGAAACGAACATTTTTTTAAGCTGCATTTGCTTCTAGGTAAAACGGGCAACATTTTCAGACAGAAATGTTCTTTCATCTATTATTTCCGTCCCTTTTACAGCTAAAAAAACCTGTTGTTTCACTTTTACGCCTTCAATTTCCTTTGATGGAAACGTCAAGAAGGAAAACAATCCTGACTAAATAATACAGTACTCCTGGAGCTTCAGTATTGAGAGTTTCCAAGTGGAGGAATAAGCAAGATATTTGGCGCTCAACAGGAAGAAATCATTCTCTAATTCAAATCCCAAAAGAATAATTTTATACATATGTTTATTAAAAAATGCAAAAAAAAAAAAAGAATTCCTGTCAACTGTTACTGTCCAACATGAACCAAGACAAGTTGCATGGCTATACTCCCAAATTGCAGTTTTCACCTTCTTCTATAACAAAAAGGTATTAAATATACAGTTACATTTCAAAGTGTAATTACTCTTGACAAAAAATCCTGTGCAAATCCAATGAGTAAGCCCCAAAACCTTATGCAAGGATCCCCTATGGCAGGCTAAGCTGCTAATCCTCTGTAAGTTGGAATTTTCTGCAATTAAAGAACACAAGTTTATGTCAAGAAAATAAAGGGAAGCTGTCTATCTGCTCAAAGGTTCTAGCTCAACTTCCATTCCTTCGGAGGGACATGGTTCTTGTGTTCTGTCGTCGGAGCACAAAAGATCTATAGAATCATCTCGTTCATCAATGTTGTCCAACCCCAAGTTGCTTCTCAGAAAGCTTCTCTCTCTTTTTCTCTTTTCATTGTATTCCAAGTGCATAACCAGTAATGAACCCATCAAGAACCATATCATCATAACCCAGTTAAGTTCTCTAACATTCTGACCTCCGTATCTGTCTCCTAAATGCTTCATCCCACTAAGAAGCGCTGAAAAGCCAACTACTAAGGTACATCTCCCTGAAACGACATGTAAGTACTCCCACAGGATCCTAAGCGTACTTTTGGAGGAAACCACCTCTCCATTAGCAGTTACTTCTGGTCTTATAGATGCATTGAGGGGCTGAAGGAAAGCCAAAACTATAGCAGCAACTCCAAACTTGGCATGTACAGAGCCAAAGAAGAAACCCCGAAGCTCAGCAACAGCAAAAAGAACACCAAGTACAATTATGGCTAAACCTGAGTACTGTAAGTAGATATGAAGCTGGTACCATTCGTTACCCAAGTGTTTTAGGTACCTAGCTGCCAATATCCCACCTGGAAACATCATACCCCAAGCAACAAACATCATACAACCATGCACAGCTAAAACAGGGCGTAAGTCCTCTACTGCCTCAGCTAAGCCACTTATAAGCAGCACACGAACAGGTCTGCTGCTTGTAGTAGAATGCATGTTTGCCTCACTCAGACGATTCTCCGACCACCTAGCTCCCATGGCCCAAACAACTCTAAGAGGAGTTGTTGGGTCAATGATATTGTCGCATTCTGGCCTGCTACCTGGAACACATGAAGGATAATAGGGGCGGGTAAACTCAAAAGTGATAATACCATCCTCTGACTTGCATCTAATATGTGTCAAATTCTCTCTAGTTGGATGCACAGCGGCGGCCTCCTGCCCGTCGATCCAGTATGTGTTCACTCGACCTTTGCCAGTTTCATCAATCCAACCCACATAAGCAAAGCTATTCACCATCCCACTACCAAATGCTACTGCAAGATAACCACTTTTCTTCTCACCTCGAGCTGCTATGGATATTGACTTATCTGAAAGTGTCCAGAAAAGTGTAACTTGCTCATCATCCAGAACAACACTGTTGTTATACATATCAGAAAGACCTCCATCAACCAGCTGCACTTTCCAACCCATTTTCTGTCCATACAATGACTGATAATAAACCTCATCAGGTGTATTCCGAGCAGGAGCCCAAACCAAATCCATTGGACTAGCTGGGACTCCTTCAGCCTCTGGCCCTCCGGCATATATAGTTTCTGACATGTTTCTAAAGGTTGCATTCCCACCAACTGGATCCGAAGTTATGTAGAAAGCAACATCATGCCCAGCTTGTATTGAGAATTTTACTGGAACCCCTCGTTCCACTCTCAGCACTGGAGCCTCTCTCTCGTTGATATAAAGAACTTTTGATGGATTGGGTGGATTTGGGTAATGCAGTGCTGGACCAGCCACAACAACCAGTGTGGTCTTTTCATCTGCAAAAATAAGGTCTTCATCCTCCTTACCTTCTGCTTCTAATGGCCCTAAACAATCGTTTACGTGCTCTGAAACATTGAGGGTCAGATGCCCATGAGTCACAAGCGGAGGTCCACCATGGTTCTGGGGAAGGTAATATGGGCGGAGGACGTCAGGGGGCCTTATCAACCCTAGAGCCCATATGACGGTCATGTTCTTGGTATGATCCACAGGTAAGTCATACTTTATGTCAACAGATTGCAGAGGCCGCTGATAACGAATGAAGGATACTCCATCGATCCTGTGTCCATATACCAACCTGGTATTGTTCACCAGCCCAATGGGGTCAGATCCTTCGTAGATGGTATCAGGACAAACACCCTCGACTGAACCATCCTTGCTCAGCAAGCACTCACTGTATCTGGTAATGAAATAATCGTCAGCAAACGGCGTTCCTTCCTCTGTAAACCCAGTCACAGCGACATCAGCATGGAGCATCAACTCATTAGAAGAATTGGGATGTGCCCATCCAAATGCCATATAGTATTCGGATCCCTGAGCTGCCTCCAGGCCAATGTCGATCAAATCCGCCTCGAGGTTCAGTGTCCACCTGAGTCGGTAATTGTTGGCGAGGATCTTACAGTTATCGAACATCGTCGGTTGTTCGTAAAGCTGGCTATTCCCTCCACTAGAATTGTTCCCGATTGACGGGGACGGCAATGGCGCCGAATAAGAACCAGGGGCCGAAGAATTCAAAGGAGACGCCGAATTGTTTCTCATGTTTCCGAGAAGAACATGACCAAAATCAGACGCAGTTGGTTCGTCCCAAACAGCAATCACTTTGATCTGGTCCCACGTAACGTTGTTGAGACGAACAGAAAAGCTTTCGCCTTTATAAGTTCTGTTCAACTTCTCATCAGAAATCACGAACCCCGCCGTTAGATTCTCAAAAGCATCACCGAGGGCACCCCACCACTGAACGTCAGAACCCTCGATCATATCGAATTTGCTAACCCTGAAAGAACAATCGTCGATCACCTTAAACACCCCTCTCAACTGATGCTGCACCATAACGAATTCCGACTCAAAATCAACCAGAGAACTGTTTCTCGTGCAACCTCCCTCACCACCCGAATCCGCATCACAGAACACAAACAGGAAGAATAACAAAAATGACAGAAGCCATGCAGAAGCGCATTTACCCGCCATGAGAACTTTATCCGGGTGATTCAGATCTAAGCAATGCGGGTGACTTACGTATGGCCTTCCTTTTTTTTCTGGTTTGGTGCAATGTAAGAAAAGTTTGAAAATAATGCGGAGGGAAACAGAGCAGAGAAATACCTTTCGATCCGAGGAAGGTTACGGTTTGTGGAGGCTCCTCTGATCAATGTTGGTGAGGCGTTCGAGATGAAGCTGAAGAGGGCGAGTTGGAGGAACTCACTAAAGCGAGTCTCGAACTCGTCGTCGGTACGTGAACGACCGACGACGTTCACAGCTTATATCATCACGCCGTGCATTGTGCCCCGGAAAACGGGCATGGGACCATGGCCGTCAACGCGAGTGTTGTCACAACATATATACAGGTATTTTAATGCTGCAACGTCAATGAATTTTGATTTAAGTATTTAACACGTGTCACTACGACCCAGAACCCGAAAATGTCGGGCCATGACGGGTTTTGCTACTTGACCCACCCTCGTGTGGAAGCAGACATGGGAATGGCACTTTTGCCGGAATTTTTGGGTACTCGACCCGTTGTACGCGGGTCGGGTCGGTTGCAAGTTTTTTTCGTCAATGGAATCGACCTGATTTAGTTGGTGAACAGGGAATCGAAAATCTAAATCCACCCATTATCCAACAAAACCGATCCAAACATGAAGCATTGTTTTGGATAGGTTTCTTTTTCTCGACTTGAGGGATGACCATTAAAATAGCCAAGGATCACATTTTCCTAAGAAATTTAAAGATACAAGGAAAGAAACTTGAAAAGATAAAAAGTACGTAGAGTGAATTTCAACCACCCAAATATATCAATTTATATATTAAACCATAATCGGTTTGGTTTAAGTTTTGGTTTTCAAATTTATATATTGAAATGAACTGATAACTCGGATTGTATATTTTATTCACCCGAAACTGACCGATAACCTTGAAAAATCGACCAAATTAGATTGATATAGAGGTGTAAATCAGGTTGTGCTGCCTCTAGATCGGTAAGATTTTGGACTGGCCCGGCCTGGTACGGCACGACAGCCCACAGGCCGTGCCATGCTGGGCTTGGGGTTTAAAGTCCATGGACCGACATGGCACCACATGATCAAGCGGGTCATGCCGCCCGTGGCCCGCTTGTTGGCCCAGCCAGGCCCGGCCCATATATACTATTTGTATATTATATATACATAATATTTATATATATATTATATTTAAATTATAATTATATAATAATATATAGTATATAATATATTAATAAAATAAACAATTTTTTTTCAATTTTATTATACTAATTTATTTAATTATTGTATATAAGCAATTGTATACATCAAAATTCATATAAAATTAGAATTTTAAGTTTTTTTTCAATTTTTCAAATAAATAGGCAAAAATAGCTTTGACCCGGTCTATGGCCTGACTTGGGCCAAGGCTTGGCTCACGGGCTAGCCCGGCCCGGGGTACGGCACGAGCTAACCCTGCCCGGGGTACGGCATGGGCTTGCACGGGCCTAGGTCGTGTTGGGCCGACCTCCAAAATTTTCATCGGGGAGGGTGGGTGGCATGGCCCGTGACGGCCCGTAGACTAGCACGGCATGGCCCACACTTTACGCGGAACGCCTGTGAGCTATGTCATGCCGACCTGGCATGGCCCACTTTATGCCTCTAGATTGATACTATCTTTGTGAACAACCTTAGTTCCAATTCTATAGGATTCGTTTATCAAAACCCTATAGAGTTTGAGATAGGTTTGGGCTTTGACCTTGAGGTACCCATACCTGAGTCCAATTATATTTAACGGTAGCCTACTACGCCATTTCTATTTAAGAGGGGCATTACATTTTGCTTACTTGATGTAAAATCAGGTGCACTATTCAAAGTACGTACTAGAAAATGCCAATAATATAGCTAGTTAGAGAAATGTATTTAAATTTTATATATGCTTTCGATACAAATAGATACAATGGAAAAATTAGGTTACACATGGATATGTCATAAAAATTTAAATATATATTAAAAATATATGAATTATATATATATACAGCTCTAATAACTCTCATATATAAGAAATATGTATTTTAATAATTTATGACTTTATGTGAAGTATAATTTCACCGTAAAATGGGAAGTATAAATTATCAGAATATTCCAATGAAAAGTTAACATTAACAAATTAATATTTCTATTATAATCATGTAAAAGGTTAGAAAATTTAAAATACATAATGTTTAATAAATAATGGTGATACGTCATATTAGAAATATTAAATTCTCTTATGAAAATAATCATAAAAAAATCTCCTAAATGGATAATTGAAATTATATAGGCAAACCATGTAGAGCTAGTTTGATTATAGCTAAAGACCTCAGTATTTGCAAATGGATATAATATGATTGCTTATCAATGTTAGTTTACTGCTAAGATATTTTGAGTTGTTTTGTGGTTGAAATATTTATGTTTAAATTAAGTAACTTGGTTCAAATCCCTTTAGCAACATAAGTGTTTTATATAGAGCTTGTTTTAAAGAATTAGGTTTGGGAAGGGACGGGTTTGGGAAATTATGATGAAAAGCTAATGGGTTTAGGATCAAGTAAGCGGATTTGAGGAATGGAAAGGGCAATTTTCATGGGTACCATATCCATTGCCATTCTTAAGAAGACCTAGCAAAAAGTTGACCCAAAAAAAAGGCAAGGTCTCATACTCTCATATATATCTAGCTGTCTGGAATTAAGAATGACTTGGACTAAAAAATGAGGTTGAGTCTGGTTGGGTTATGGGTTAATTTGTTGACACGATTGTCAATTCTAATCGGGACTATTTATGTATTGTTAGAAGTTTTCATTATTTAAATACGTAGTATTTAGTCTTTATTCTTTATTTGTTTATTTGTTTATTTTTTGAATTTTCAAGTTTTTCTTTTAAATTTGAAATGTTTAGGTTAATTCCTTTAATTTTAGCACTTTTCATGTTTTTTTTTTAATTTTTAATTTTTCAAAAGTTTAGTTGTTTTAATGATTGACCCATATGGAGCAGAGCTACTTACGAGATATTTGAGCTCGGCTCGATTTCAACCGAGCTTTGAGCCGAGCTCGAGCCTAATAAAGTTTGACTCGCGAGGCTTGCAAGTCGAGCTCAAATAGCTACATATAATAATAATAATAATAATAATATATAAAAAATATTATATATAGAATATTTTATTTATATATATAATAATAACTAATTATTATAATATATACTTTTTTTATTTTTATAAAACACTTTTCTCAAGTCAAGCTTGAACCGAGCAAACCGAACTCAAACTTACGAGCTTTTGATTTGAACTGAATTTAAGCTCAAGGTTCTATCTTGAACCGAGCTCGGGCTCGAACTCGAGCCTCGTACTGCCTTGACGAATTCACCCCTACCCGAAACTTAACCCAACTTGAAATCAACCCGAAAGTGTGTTGACCTGACACAAACTTAACCCACCCAACCCGATTGCCAAGTTACGTGGAAGTGTCTTGGACAGATGTTTGGATCCAATATTGAGTAGTTTTCTTTTCACCCAAAAAACAAAATTGAATGGTTATGAAGTTGAAGCATGGGTGGTCATTTCTAGCCCAACCCAACCCACAATGTATAGGATAGGGGTGCTCTCACCTTGCAGGAAATGGAATCTATTTGTGCGAGTAGATTCCCACGTGAGAGCACCCCAGTAATTATTGTTATTAATTACAATAACAGTAATTACAGTTATTAATTACTGTTATTTATATTACTATTATAAATAACAGTAATTACTGTTATTAATTACTGTAATTTAATAATTACTGATTATTACAGTAATTTAATAAATATATAATTAGTGATTATGATTAATAATTACTGTTATTATAAATATTGTTAATAACTAGATATTTACTTTAAAATTATTAATACTGTTATTAAAAAAAATACTGTTAATAAATTACTGATTCTTACAGTAATTTAATAAATATATAATTAGTGATTATAATTAATAATTACTGTTATTATAAATATTGTTAATAATTAGATATTTACTTTAAAATTATTAATACTGTTATTAAAAAATTACTGTTAATAAATTACTGATCATTACAGTAATTTAATTAATATATAATTAGTGATTATAATTAATAATTACTGTTATTATAAATATTGTTAATAAATAGATATTTACTTTAAATTAAAATTATAAATATTGTTATTAATAAATACTAATAATAAATTTAGTAATTATTGTTATATTAAAAATAATTAAAAGTGTTATTAAAAGTATTGTTACTGATCATTTAATAAAATATTATAATTACTATTACTGATAAAATATTGTTAATTTAATTTAATTTTGATAATTATTAATTTAATGAATATTTTTAATAATTCCTATTCATAAATTTAATAWTTATTGTTATATTAAAAATAACTAAATAATATTATTAAAACTATCATTAATGATTATTTAATTAAATAGTATAATTACTTATTATTATTGATAGATGTTGTTAATAACGTTCTGATAACTAACGGTTCGACCGTCTAATTCGAATGGACGAACCATTCTGACAACAAAAATTACAAGCAAAAAATTGCGGAACCATTATGGCAACCAATTTTCGGGTCGACGGTTCAATTGTTCAGTTCAAACGGATGGCCTGTTTTGACAACAAAAATTTTAAAAATAAAAAAAGACCAAAAACCATTTAATGGGTCAACGGTTCGACTGCCTGGATCAATGGGTCATTGATCGATTCAACAATTTTTTGCTAGGGATTGCGATTAGGATAAAACGGAACCAGATGCTTGGATGGTTCTCAATGAAAAAAAATAAAAAAATGGCCAAAAACCATTGAACAAGTCAACGGGTTGACGGTTTGACCGCTCGAGTCCATGGGTCGTTGACCGATTCAACGATTTTTTGCCAGAGACCAGGTCAACGGGTTGACGGTTCCATTATAGCCCCTGTAAAGCAGGGTCCCTCCGCTAGTATTAAATGTA